AAAAAAAAGGCTCATAGGGTTACGAAACGGAAAACATACGCTTTGGCTATGGAAGTGATACTGATGCTCCCGTAGCCGTGAAAGTTAATCCATCACTTGATCCATTCATGAGGTTCGTCTCAGTTTCGAGCAACTTGCGACGTTTAATTCTTTCAGCGTTTTTTAACACAACATCTTAAATTAGAATTTTTCAAAAGAGCATTTGTCAATTTCCTCTCGTAAGGTACTAGACATTTTTTTCCTTTTCTCTTCGAAACTTGATTGGATGCACTCTTCATGTTTGGACGTTGAAAAGGATCACATTCCCATCTAAATATAGAACGCGATTGTTCTCTTTTGACTCTTCAAAAACAAAATTAATTTCTTTAGATCGGCTGTTGAAAGATTCAAGCCTGTTTTCCTCGATATTTGGCACATACGCACTTACAGCTATGGTAAGAGGCGTCACATAGCATAACCACTATTATCAGCAATCTTCATTACCTATTTCAAGATCTGAAGCATGATCGTTCCTTTTCGCTAACAGTACGCGCCGTTGCCTATGAAGTGGCGAAGCGGTTAAATAAGCTTCTTCAACCCATAATAGAGGGTGACGAATACGATGTAAGTGCTATTTGAGTGTTTTGTTGCGCGACTTCTTTTGATTGTCTAATTGGAGCTCAATAAAATTAAGATATATTTTAGTTGGCTGATTATGGATTGAACACTCTCAGTCGCAATGTGTCCACTGTTAAATCATCTATCAAAGTGTACGCTGAAATTGTCAAAACCATAAAAAAGGTTTGCTTCAACATTTCCTTTTTACCTTATTGTTACCAGCACATTTAGGAGGGACTCATTGGTGGCCAGGTACTGACCATGTTACATCGTGCGCGAGAGGCAGCTATCATTGCCAAGGATATTCGCGATCTCACAGAAATTTTTGATGTATGTTACCTGATATTTTCAATTATTTTCAATTTTTGCTCACATTAACATAATGATACATCTTCAGAGCTATCTTTTCGTCCTTTAGTTTCAAAATAACAGTCATTTTATTCATGGAATTCCATTCAACATATCTTCCGGCTGATAGCATCTCTCTTCACTATTAAATTGAAAACTGTAGACCTGTTAGTTGTTTAATTAAGATAGAAGTCGCAAGATAGAATGTATCTCAGGTTGCTTGGAAGATGTTTGCGAGCAGAATAGGTACATGGGTGGAACAAGGACTAGTGGATGACTGCGAACTGGAGGTATTCGCTCATCTAGCAATCAGCTTTTTTTTCTAAACAAAAGGGTTTACTCGATTTTGTAATTCTCATGCATGCTCTTTTACGTTCACTACATATCCCCAAGAAACGTTGAGATTTTTGATAGGGGTCATTTATTGCAGTTTATCATCTGGCCCACCGAAGCATTGCCATCTTCTACAATACTAGCAATCTTGTCATCCTCTCGTTTGAGGTAGTGCTGCTTTTGACATCAACAGTTTCGGCTATCTTCTTTCCCTTGTTCTAGGCTTGATTCAAAGGACTACATTCTCATAGAGGACTTGTGTCCTTCTTTTCTGATACGTCTCCTACCATCTATAGCGAAATGTGGGAACTACATATACATGATGGAAAAGACGAGAATCAGAGGTGAGGAGCCT